AATAATAAAAACATTTCTTTCAACATGGGGGGAAAAAAAAACCCATGTCCCTTACAAAAACTTTAATAGGGAATCAAATTGTAAACATTTTTTTAAGCCAAAGAGAAGAATAACATTTATTGCAAACGTGGGTTTTTTTTTTAAGTTTTTTTTAGTGACAGCAGTCTGTCACTCAGGCTGGAGTCAAGTGGCGCAGTCCTAGCTTATGTAGCCTTGAACTCCTGGACTCAAGGGATCCTCCCTCCTCAGTCTCCAAAGTGCTGGGATTACAGGTGTGACCCACCATGTGTGGCTGGTCTGAATGTATATAGACATACATGAAAGTGTGTTTTAGTACAAATATGCAACCAATCTTTTTTGTTTAACATAATTTAGAGTGCTATCCATATCAATATATATACATTTATTTCATCTCTTAATTTTAGGCCAGGCACGATGGCTTATGCCTGTAATCCCAGCACCTTGGGACACTGAGGAAGGAGTATTGCATGAGCCCATGGGTTTGAGACCAGCCTAGGCAACATATGGAGACCCCGTCTCTACAAAAAATTTAAAAATTAGCTGAGTGTTGTGGTGCATGCCTGTAGGCCCAGCTACTCAGGAGACTGAGGTGGGAGGATCACTTGGGCCTGGGAGATTGAGGCTACAATGAGCCATGATCATGCCACTGCATTCCAGCATCTGTGACAGAGTGAAACCGTATCTCAAAATACTACTACTACTACTACTAATTTTTAAATGATTATACACACACTAAATGGGTCCTATTGATGGGCATTTTGGGTTAATCCCAACGGGTTACTATTACAAACAAGCCTGCAGTGAATTTATTTATATGTATATCTCTGTATACATATGTAAATGTCTACAGATAAATTCCTAGAAGTATAATAAAAATTATGACTATTAAAATTATTACAGATATTCAATAATATTTTGCATTTAGTTGTCATATCTCTTTAGTTTTCATTAATCTGGAACAGTTCCTGAGTCTTTAAAGTATTTCATAATATTGACAAGTTTTTATTTTTATTTTTTGAGACACAGTCTTGCTCTGTCACCCAGGCTGGAGTGCAGTGGCACCATCTCAGCACTGCAGTTTCCACCTCCCAGGTTCAAGAGATTTTCCTGCCTCAGCCTCCCAAGTATCTAGGATTACAGGCACCCGCCACCATGCCCTGCTTTTTTGTGTTTTTAGTAGAGATGGGGTTTCACCATGTTGGCCGGGTTGGTCTTGAACTTCTGACCTCAGGTGATCTACCCACCTCGGCCTCCCAAAGTGTTGGGATTACAGGCATGAACCACCATACCTGGCCAATAGTGACAGTTTTGAAGAATAGAGATGAATTATTTCATTTTAATTAATTAATTAATTAAGTTTTTGGAGACAGAGCCTTGCTCTGTTGCCAGGCTAGAGTGCAATGGCACGATCTGGGATCACTGCAACTTCTGCCTCCCGAGTTCAAGAGATTCTCCTGCCTCAGCCTCCTGAGTAGCTGGGACTACAGGCACACACCACCATGCCCACCTAATTTTTGTATTTTTAGTAGAGACAAGGTTTCACCCTGTTGGTCAGGATGGTCTCAATCTCTTGATCTCATGATCCGCCTGCCACGGCCTGCCAAAGTGCTGGGATTACAGGTGTGAGCCACCATGCCCGGCCCAGATGAGTTATTTTATAAATGGTCAGTTTAACTTTGTCTGATATTTCCTCATGGTTAGATTCAGGTTATGCACTTTTGGGAGGAATGTCACTACAGTGTTACTGAATTAGAAGACAGAAATTTTAATGTTAACATTTTTTAGAGCTTTTCCAGCTACATTTTTTTCTTTCACTAAATATTCTCCATGAAGTGTTATTAATTATTTCTGCCATAGTCTAGAAATGGTCACTGACTAAAGCTTATTTTTAATATTTTTTGAATCCCAAATGATTAACTTTTTTAGCTTTCCTGTTGCATTTAACCCTGAGCTTGCTTATATGAAACTGGGTAATTGTTTTAGTAGTCTCTAAAACTCATAATTGTTGCATGGAAAAGAATAGGAACTGAAAGTTCTTATGAAAAATATTCCTACGTTGGCCAGGCTAATCTTGAACTTCTGACCTCAAATGATCTGCCCACCCCATCCTCCCAAAGTGCTGGAATTACAGGCATGAGCCACTGCGTCCAGAGACAAAGTCTTACTCTGTCACCCAGGCTGAATGCATGGCATGATCTTGGCTCACTGCAACCTCTGCCTCCTGGGTTCAAACGATTCTCCCACCTCAGCCTCCTGAGTAGCTGGGACTACAGGCGCCCACCACCACACCTGGCTAATTTTTTTGTGTGTGTTTTTAGTAGAGACAGGATTTCACAAGTTGGCCAGGCTGGTCTTGAACACCTGACCTTGTGATCCACCTGCCTCAGCCTCCCAAAGTGCTGGGATTACAGATGTGAGCTACTGCGCTTGGCCTGCATTTCTTTTTTAAAAATATTTTTTTCCCTGGAGCTTTAGCATTCCCATATAACCTAAACAACAATGCCATGAGATCAGTTACTTTATTTCATTCTTTCAGTTAGCAAATATTTCTTGAGTACCTATTGAGGCAGGAGAATACGACCTGGAAGCTTGTCTTTTTAAGGTCTATATCAAGAATTATAAGTTAACAATGGATAGATTGATGTGATTTTATTATATTAGAAAGTGAAACAGTAGGTGGTATTGGTTTGTGGTATACACTGAAAATACTTCCCCCACTCTCCTTCTGAGAAACAATTATGAGTTTGTCTTTCTAATCTAAGTCCCATGTAAAGTTTCTGCAATATGAAGCATTAGAAGTGAGTTGGGCCGGGCACCGTGTCTCATGCCTGTAATCCCAGCACTTCAGGAGGCTGAGGCAGGTGGATCACTTGAGGTCAGGAGATCAAGACCATCCTGGACAACATGGTGAAACCCCATCTCTACTGAAAATACAAAAATTAGCTGGGCATGGTGGTGCTTGCCTGTAACCCAGCTATTCAGGAGGCTGAGGCAGGAGACTCACGTGAACCAGAGGTTGACAGATCTGTCGGTGGTTGCAGTGAGCCAAGATTGTACCACTGCATTCCAGCCTGGCAACATAGCGAGACTCCATCTCAAAAACAAAAAAGAGGAAGTGAGTTGATGATAAGTATTAGTATCTGACTAACTTTGAGATACCCTTGTTATATGGTCTGGAATTTGCCTTTTAGTTCGTATGTTGAAGGAAGGAAAATGTTGACTATTTCTAAGGAAATACTATATTAAATATTTTGGTATGCTTAAAAGCACACATTAAGACATTCAAACTAATTCAAATCATAATCTGCATATTTTCATTGTAAACTATTAGCCATAAAATGGTATTTGGAGATGAAACATTATGGACACAAAACACAGAATGATATTTGACACATAGATGTTTGTAGCAGGATAGTAGAGTCCAGTGGTTAAAAGCATGGGCTTTGGCTGGGCCTGGTGGCTCACAACTGTAATCCCAGCACTTTGGGAGGTCAAGGCAGGAGGATCATAAGGTCAAGAGATTGAGACCATCCTGGCCAACATGGAGAAACCTGTCTCTATTAAAAATACAAAAATTAAGCTGGACGTGGTGGCACATGCCTATAATCCCAGCTACTTGGGAGGGTGAGGCAGAAAAATCGCTTGAACTCAGGAAGCAGAAGTTGCAGTGAGCCGAGATCGTGCCACTGCAGTCCAGTGTGGCAACAGAGCAAGATTTTGTCTCAAAAAAGAAAAAAAAAGCATGGGATTTAGAGTAAGAGAACCCTTGGTTAACTAGCTGTGTACTTTCCTAAGCATTTGTTTCTTCATACATAAAATGAATTAATGCTACTATAAAATGAATTAGTACCTTCCTCCTTGGGTTTCTCTGAGGATTAAATGTGTTAATGTATGTAAGAGGGCTGGCTTAGTACCTGGCATGCAATAAGTCCCGAACAAAATGGCAACTCTTAGCATCATAACCAATTATACTTATTTGGGCTGAGACCAGGCCTTACTTTTAGGTAAGCCAACAGTCATGGTAGAAAAACCCTGAAGGGAAGCAATCAGCTGGAAAAATGGAAATGCATTCTCCATTTAACCTTTACTCATCTCTGATTTTCATTGTAGGTCAAAAATATGACACATTCTTATGAGTCTTAGGATTAAACTCTTGTGGTTTTCATACCTGAAATATTTTTATTAAAACTATAGTTTCTGAGAGCCACCTATATTACTTCTTGTTTCTAAAATAACTGCCTGTCTCACCCATATTATTGAGAAGAATGCTTTTGTTTGAGATGCTGTTGACAGATCTCACAAATATGCCATAACCAAAAAATAACCTTTATGGGTCACATGAATGACCTTCTGAGGACCCAGAGTCATAGACTGTGTAATGGTGCTTCTATTAATGATGGACCACATATACAGTGGTGGTCCTGTAAGATTATAATACCATTTTTTTAAGACAGGGTCTTTTGTGTGTTTTTTCTTTTTGAGACAGGGTCTCGCTCTGTTGCCCTGGCTGGAGTGCAGTGGTGCAATCACAGCTCACTACAGCCTCAACCTCTTGGGCCCAAGTGATCCTCCCATCTCAGCCTCCCAAGTAGTTGAGACCACAGGCATGTGCCATCATGACTGGCTAATTTTTTTATTTTTGTAGAGTTAGAGTCTCCCCATGTTGTTCAGTCTGGTCTCGAACTCCTAGGTTTAAGCAATCCTCCCACCTTAGCCTCCCAAAGTGCTGAGATTACAGGTGTGAGCCACTGTGCTGAGCAGAGACAGAGTCTTGCTCTGTCACCCAGGCTGAAGAGCAGTGGTTCAATCAATTCACTATAACCTTAAACTCCTATGCTTAAGGGATCCTCATGCCTCAGCCTTCTGAGTAGCTGGGACTACGGGCATACACCACCATATCTGGGTAATACTTATATTTTTTGCAGAGACAGGATCTCACTTTCTTGTCTAGGCTGGTTTCAAACTCCTGGCCTCAAGTGATCCTCCTGCCTCAGCCTCCCAAAGTAAATAATATCATATTTTTACTGTACCTTTTCTGTGGTGAGATATACAAATATTTACCAGTATGTTACAGTTACTTACAGTATTCAGCACAGTAACATGCTGTACAGGTTTGTAGCTGAGGAGCAATAGACTATATCATGTAGCCTAGGTGTGTAGTAAGCTAAACCATCTTGATTTGTGTAAACACACTATGATGTTTGCATGATGACATGGCATTTCTCAGTATCTCTGTCATTAAGTGAGGCATGTCTGTATATAGATCACATTTTGAAAACCATTGCTACAAACAAGTTGACTTTTAAGATGGTTTTCCTTATGTTATTTTGTCTTTGTAGTTCTAATCCTTTATAAATAAAACTGTTATATTAAGTCAGGCAAAAAAATGAGATCCTCTAGCTTGAATCATTAGGTGATATCTAAGCAACTTTCTTCTTTTTAAAAAATTATTTTATCCACCAAGCATGAAAATATTTAAAGATATATAAATGAAAAAAAAGAAACATTTGAATATTTTGAGGTACTTCCAACAATTAGAAACTTGGATATAAACATAAAATTCTTTTGTGTTTATTTTTATAGGTATCCCTTGGAATTTTACATTTAATGTGAAGTTTTATCCACCTGATCCAGCACAGTTAACAGAAGACATAACGAGGTAATGAGATAGTAATTCTTACCACTATAAGCTCTGCTAATTCCCTATTCAGAACTGAAGAAAAATAATGAATTAAGTAGCCTAAGATTGAAAGTTTCTGGTCACTTCAAGGCAGGTGTACAAATAAGTGAGCCTAAAAGCCTTAAGTATCTGTGACCTGTATCACAAGTATCAGGAAAGTGGTAGGGAAACTGGCCTTGCTTATCATGGGTATTATACCAAGCTGTAGACAGGGCTTCTACCAGCACCCTCCAAAGGGCAAGACACAAAAATAGTGATAAAGTGGCTCTGCTGTTTTTTGGGGTCTCTTTTCATACTCCTTTCCTACCATGTTTCTTCTTATAGGTATCAAAAAAGCTGAAAGTCTAAGTGTTATTATTATTTCTTCGTATCTCCCTTTTAAAATGTTTGATGAAGTACTTAGTCCCCTGAACTGAATCTTCCTTGGACCCCACCTAATTTGTGAAATCTTTTACGCTTTAGAAACAGCCTACTGATGTCTTTTAAGAAAATAGCTTTTATTGGATTCTATAAAAATATTAACTAAAAAAATAAAATGGAAAATCAATATATTATAAAGCACTACTGTGCATATTTATATCCATGACATCTTGCATAGGGTCTTATCCATAGTAGATGTCTGGCAAATGTTTGTTAATTAAACCGTTGGTTGTTGAGTAACTGCTTTCCATTTCTGATTTTGCTGCCAACTATCTGATTCCAGGCATACTTAATAGTCTCTAGGCCTCAGTTTCCGTATCAAATAAGAGAATAGACTAACCTCTTAAGAAATCTGAATATTAAGTTCCGTAAAAAGTCAATACCATTTTTTTCTTATTACTTATCGTCTAGTTATCCTCAGTATATTCTTGAAGTTGAGATGCCAGATCTCTGCCTTAAAAAGTTCTTTTAGTTATTTCTTTTTCACAGTAATATTTGTCTTTTGGAATTGCTAATCATCTTTCTTTATCTAGGCTTATATATGAAACAAAACATATCTAAAAATTTTTGCTAATTATTTACATTTCAGAGGAGTTTAAAATTTTTGTGCCTTGTTTGGCATTGCTCTGACATTTAAAAATACATGTACGCAGTCAGACACAGTGGCTTATGCCTGTAATCCCAGCACTTTGGGAGGCCGAGGCAGGCAGATCACTAGGTCAGGAGATCGAGACCATCCTGGCTAACATAGTGAAACCCCATCTCTACTAAAAATACAAAAAATTAGCCGGGCATGGTGGCACATGCCTGTAATCCCAGCTACTTGGGAGGCTGAGGTGGGAGAATCACTTGAACCCAGTAGATGGAGGTTGCAGCGAGCCAAGGTCACGCCATTGCACTCCAGCCTGGGCAACAAGAGTGAAATTCCGTCTCAAAAAAAAAAAAAAAAAAAAAAAATGTATGTTTGTTGGACTGAACTGTTTTAACTGTTGGTTTGTTGGACTGAACTGTTTTAACTGCAAACTGCAATTCCCAACAGTTTAGCACACAGATGGAATTAGTCTTACAAGGTGGCTAATAGTTTGTGGAAGGCTGCATACGACTTAACTCATCTTGGAGACAAAATACACCAGAATATTTATATCCTAGTGAAAATGTGTCAGTAATATCATCTTTGTATATGAAGGGCAATATCTGCATACTTGGCAAAGCAACGTGATAGAAAAGAAAGGGCCTGGCTTTGGAGCCAGTGTTTATTACTACCTGACACTGAGCACGCTAAGCCTCTGAGCTGCTTTGTCATCTATTATCTGACAATGATACCTCCCCTCACAAGTGTGTGTGTGTGTGTGTGTGTGTGTGTGTATTAGGTGAGATAATTTGTATATCTGGGGTACTTAGTATACTTAAAAAAATATTAGTTTTGTTACTTCCTTTAGACTTTCCCAACTTTTCCTCTTTCTAAACATGTGTCCAACAGTTACAGTATTTTTTTTAAGTTTTAATATGGAAAAATTTCAAACACACAGAAAGAGAGAAATAATAGTGCAGTGAACTACCTAGATTGAACAATTATTAATATTATCTTTACTTAATTGCTCTCTTTTCTTGTTTCTCCTTATTTTTCTCTCTCCCTTTTTCTTTCTGCCCTTTTCTCCTTTTTCTCTCTCTATATTTTGTTATTGTTGTTGTTGCTGACATAACATCTTTTCTCTTTTGGCTGTAGATATTATTTATGTCTTCAGCTTCGGCAGGACATAGTTGCAGGACGTCTGCCCTGTTCCTTTGCAACCTTAGCATTGTTAGGTTCTTACACCATCCAGTCTGAACTGGGAGACTACGACCCAGAACTCCATGGCATGGATTATGTTAGTGATTTTAAACTGGCCCCGAATCAGACCAAGGAACTTGAAGAGAAGGTCATGGAACTGCATAAGTCATACAGGTGAATATGTCTCCAGGGTTTGTTCAGTGTTTGTTTTGGCAATGAGTTTAAATACTTAGCATGGTATTGGTTCAGTGTTTGCCTAAGAGGGAGCATGGTGCCCTAGAAAGAGTTTCCTCCACTGTTTGACTTTGGGCAGGTCACTTAACCTCTCTTAATCTAAGCTTTCTCATCAGAGTAATAGGCATTGCATTGTAGGATGAAAACTAAATGAGGTAATATATGTAAAGCACTTAGTGCAGCTGCTGGTTCAGTGCTCAGCAAATGGCAGCTATTATTATTTTTGTCGCCTTACCTTTTATTTTTTATCAGATTTAAAACTCACTATGCTGCATTAGGTGCCTTAAGATCCTTAGAGCAGGGGTTTTTAATTTGAGATCTTTATACATGGATAGATTTCAGAGGGCCCATGAAACTCTTGGAGGGATTTTTAAAAGTCTTTATTAAATTCACTGACTATCCTGCTTTTTTACCTGAAAATTATTGATAATGTTGGGAGGTATCAAGTGATCAAAAGCAAGAGTTTAGTGTCAGTCTGAGCTGGGCTGAAATGTTGACCTTGGTTCCGACCTTGTGACCTTAAGTCATTCAATTATAACTTCTCTGAGCCTCATGTTTCTTATATTTCTGATGGAGATTATTACCTCAGAGAAAATAGGGTGACTGCTAGGTTTAGAAAAGGTATTGTGGGCTGATCGCGATGACTCATACCTGAAATCCTAGCACTTTGGGAGGCCAAGGCAGGAGGGTCCCTTGAACCTGGGATGTCAAGGCTGCAGTGAGCCAAGATCACATCATTGAAAGGTAATGTGTGTAAAATACTGAATACAATGTCACAATGTCTTTCACATGGTAAAAATTCAATAAATATTAGCTAATATTAAAGTGCCAGAATAATTTGTGTTTCTTCCTACCCATACATTCATTGTTACTTGAGTGACTTGCTGTAGCTAAGTTCTATAAACTGCCTTAGTACATTAATGTAAAAGTCTGACCTTGGCCTTGAGTTAGTACCCTAAGTTATGTTAGCACGAGTTAGGTTACAAATCTCCAAAGGGTAACACTGCTCAAAGAGAAATCCAAAGAGTGGTCCTGGTAGGCTTGCCATGGTAGTGAAAAATATTCTTTCTAGCCATTGAGCCATCTTGTTCATGTTGGGGTAGTTGGAATAGGATTGCATGGATTGGGATGCTTCAAATGAGAGATCTTTAACTTAAGGTGCCTTAATTCTGGGTGCATTATTGCCCCTGTAGGTTCAGGTACCTCAGTCATGAGGACTGTAGTAAGGACTTTAAAGTCTACAACCTACATAGCAGTAGTCTTTTTTTTTTTTTTTTTTTTTTT